TTCTTGTAGATGGGCACACGCACCATGTTGGCCGAGGCCAAGGCGGCGCAAATGGTGAAGAATACGAAGAACTTGAACATTTTGCTGTTGGAAAGGAAAGTTAGAAATCTTTTAGAATATCCAGGGTTTGTGGTTATGAAATAAAACTTACCGTTAGCTTTTCTTAATATGTATAGCACCAAACGATGATATACAACTGTGTCATAAATTTTGCAGGTCGTTCCTTATATACTCATTTCTGCATCCTATCTTTCTGTGATAATCTCTCGAACCTAATTAAACAAGTGCTCTAATATTTGATACTAGCGATGGCTTCACTTTTTTCAATAAAAATTAAATAGATAATTTTATTATTGTATATATTATACTTAGGAGCAGACGCTATGTTTGTTTCAAAAACATTTGCGAGTACTTGGGAGTCTTTCGACCGCACTTGGAATGTTTTTGAAAGGCCTCGTTCCTTCATATTACGCATTTCTGCCAATCTCACTACGGTATACCTGTTTCTTAGTCAGAAAGCGTAGGAGCATCATGGGGATTTGTTGTGGCTTGTGGTCACCTATATTTAGTTTGGAGTATTAATGAGTTCTCGAAATAATTAGTTAGTTTTATATGGTTTCTAGACAGATTGCAATATGGTTCTTATGGGAAAAAATTACGGCAAAAGTGTAATTAAATTATTTTTTCGAAGAAGTTGGGAGACTGATAGTATTGCAGGATGTGATTGGAAAAATAGTGCGTAATTCTGTTTTTTTCAAGCTGCTGTTCGTAAGATATTTAGGAAGCTTTGCGTCTAGTAACGTTTTGCAAAAGTATTGCCGCCATTGGAATATCCAAAATGAATGAACTTGATCCTATCGTCACAATACCTTCGTTTTGTGATTGGTGGAATAGTTTGTTTTATATTACTTTTTCGCACCGGCCAGTCTGGTGATATATACATACATGAATGACTTTTATGACCCTCTCCTATTTAACATATAGACAAAATCTAACAGATGTACATATGTATGGGCATAAGAAGGTAGATAACATTCCTTAATACGAAAACAACAACAATATTAATAAAAAATAATCACAAGTAGTATATGTGACGTCGTCGTTATTTAGCTGGAAAGTCTGATTTCTTCGCTTAATTGAAAATTATCAAAGAATTGTAATTGTAATCAGATAATAAGGTCTCGAGGTACTTAAAAAATACTGACACATTTTTGTTGTCTAGTGAAGTTTGTTGACAGTGAAAAAATTGATGAATATTGATAACGATAAATTACGTTTAATAACACTATAGATGTGGTTCGTTCCTTCCTTTTATATACAAGTAAAATGTATATAAAAAACCATGATATAATAAATAATCCGTAGTTTTTTAGTTTTTTCTATGTTCCTACTAAAATTGTAAACCATTCTGTTGTTGATGTTGTTTCCGGCTGATGGGGTGTAAAATTCCTTCGGCATCATCAGTGCTGCTGTCACACCAGCGGCACGTGCCACTTGCAGATCACTAAAAATCCTCCCTCTAAGGAACCGTCGTCCACTCTAGGACCACATTTTCATTTACTTCAAGGTAGCGCTCCATTTTCCTCATTGACAGATTTACAACTGCGCACCTGTGTCCAGGTTCCGCTTTTGCTGCGTAGCAATAGTGCTGAGAATTTTTTGATAACCCACAGTTTGCTTCGCTCTCCAGCAGGACACTGATCGTCAACGTTTATTGGGCAAGCCAAGTCTTCTGCGGCGGTCTGTTCTCGTTGCCAACGCGCACATTCTTTTGTAGTCTTCTGTCACGTCGATGTATAGGCCCAACGGTACTTTTTGAAGTATCCGTGACTGAACAACAGCTGGGTTGTGTAAAAATCTACTTCTCCGATTAAAGATTAAATAATCTCAAATAAGAGTGGTCTTGAATGCCACGCAGAAGCTGGCCTTTGTAGACTGTCCATTCTCCAGCTCTAACAGCAGGGCTCCGGCCTTTGATCTTCACCTCTGCTTCTTTAAGATCTACCTTGCTACGGATATTCTGGAGGACCCGGTCTCTGATTGTTTTTTGGGCCTATTATTTGCTCTCTGACTTGCAGCTATGAACCTAGCTTGCGGTCTCTCCTTTGCCTCTTTATGTGCTCTCTCCAGCGTTCCTTCGTTTGCGTGAATCTTGCTTGCTTTTTTAGGCAAAACATTAAAATTAAATAAGACTTAAATATATACTTATACAGAAAGACATCTAACTATAATACTTTCATAAGAACAGTTTAGGCGGCTTTCGCATCAACAATCATATTTTTTACTAAGTGAATTAGACGTTAATCAGCTTAGTAACATAAGTCAGAAAGAAATTCTGGCATGTGGCTCATTAAAATGGAGGTATTCTGAAAAGACCAAGCTATGCGTTGTATCGTATTAATGATGTAGCAATTTTTTTTCCATTTCAAAGTGGTTTCGAATTCATCAATATTTACCCCGACAAATCTAAAGATTGATAATATTTAGACCATGATATAATTTCTTTTTAGGCGCAACTAAGTTCTGATTTAATTAACAGTTGTTTACATCTCAAAACTAATATACTACTCGTATGATAATTGATGATGTGTATATCAAAATGCTTAGAATGACTACCCGAATTTCGTATGTCTATTTGTCCGTCCAACAGTCCATCAATCCATTCGCTTGAATTTGGTCAAGTATTTTTAATCGGTTACACCCGAATTTAGCACTTCCATACTTCTTTAATACTATTATTACTAATTAATGAATTGTGAACTGTTTACGCAGATAGTTAATGGACGAGCATAAGTGCTTACAGATTCACGTATAATGATAACAAGTTTGCGCGTATATTTATCTAAGTACGTAACTTATGTACGTATATACTTGGTTCAACAGTATTAGGTGTGAGAGTGCATTGATAGTATTTACCTTTGCCTGACACTTGAAAAGCAATACTATGCGACTATAGACAGTAGCGAATTTATAGATTTGTCGCCTGCTGTAAAAACAAATTTTGCGGCCTCGAAGTTTTGGTACTTTAATACACCATCATGTGCAACTTTCATTACATTACATTACAGCTTGTTTTTTTTTTTTTTTTTTTTTTTTTTTTTTTTTTTTTTTTTTTTTTTTTTTTTTTTTTTTTTTTTTTTTTTTTTTTTTTTTTT